ACTTTTTATAGAAAATTGTACTCCTCGACTAGATGTCAAAAGTCGCCAATTTTTCAATAGTCTCTGACAAGGTGAGAACGTAAAGCAGCTTCAGTTGTCCCGGCTCCAGCGCGAGGATACCCTCGAAAACGCTTCGGCGTTCGTGCACGTCGACCGCGCAAGTGCAGTCAAGGCACGACGGAAGGCATTGGGCGCGTCCTGGAGGCCAAGCGTTCGAGAGGCATGCCTTGCCGTTCTGACTTTGTAAGTGACTGTAGTGCCTTTAATGATCATATTAAATAGTCAACTAGTAAGAAAAAGCAAAGTAACTATTTTAAAGTGGAGAAACTGCCTTGACTGGCATTGTCCTGAGATGTGATATGCAGAGAAGCGATAATATTTCTTCTAGGAGTCGTTTTTGTGGATGGTGTTTTAGTGACTGTGCCGAATTATTATTAGTTCTACCAATGTGTTGCCAACCCGTTTTAATAAGACATATCGTCCACGATTTTGAAAACACTGTTTTCCCTTTGACAGACTCCAGAGGAGAAGATCGAATACTTGAACCTTAATAAGTGTTGAGGTGGTCGCCGGCCAAATGAATTCCTTCATTATGTAGGCTATATAAGGCTCTGGACCAGTCAATGGTACAGTGATTCAGGAGTTCAGTACTTTATGTTGTTTGTGTTTGTGTTCGCTTCTAACATGTAGTTCTGGTATGTGTGTAGCAATGACTTCACATACCACAAAAACACATATACTAACAAATTTAAAAAAGAAAATCGTTTTTTAATGTTATTTAGCCCATTTGGAGGAGAGTGGAAAGCCATACCAAGCTTCCAAAACTTCTTTGAATAAATAGGTAACCTGTAAAAAAAATGTTTAAATCTTCTGTACCTTTTTACTTGAAAAGCTGCAGCATTTGAATTGAAAAGCAGCAGAAAAAGCATCTCTGAGGCGACAGAAAGACTGTTGACTTTCTTACTACAAAGTGGGCTAATATTCAAAAGAAACTCAACAGAAAAGCTAGAGAAAGTCAGATGGAAAGCTATTGACATTTTATATCCTCTGATGACTTTTTTCAACAGCCTTTTAGCAGAAAAGCATCACAGTTGTTTGTATGGGGCTGTTCTAGCAAGTCGGACGAGGTCTCATACCAACGCACGATGCCCCGGAGCCGTATATTGGAAGACTTTGGCTATTCATTGGGTTGAATACGCTAGCAACTCGGTGGTCAACCACAGGCCGCGAAACAGCCCCTAACGGTCGTCGAGAGCTCTAAAATTGCGACTCGAATAATTTAAGCCGTTTTAGCGTTGCTAGAGAGAAAAGGTGTAACTCTTGGTGAGTAAAAGTTTGCCGAATGAGAGGTTTATGTCACATCCATATTCAGCGGCATAATAAACAAAAGCGCGTTCCAAACCAGAACAAACTGCGTAGTTGCGAACAATGCAGCTGCGAGATTGAACGCTTCTATTTCACGCTTTAAATATCGTTTCCAATATTTTGACATCGAGGTCTGCTGATTGGTCGAAGCTGTGTAGCACTTTTAGTTTATGCTCTAACCGCGAGAGGAACATTCGGCGCCGGTGGCGGTCTTTGGTCCGCCCATTGGCCAAACTCTTCCAATATGAGGCTCTGCGATGCCCTACCGCGAAGTGAGCACAGGACAAAATTCAAATAATGAAAACGGAACTCGACACTCTTTTGCTCTCTTTTGTGCACTAGTTCCTTTAAGACATACCATAGTGAGAAAATATTGGCTCTTTCCAAGTAAATTCATGCGCAGAGATCGCTTTTCGTTATTCTCATTGATACCCAATTAATAAAACAATTACTCGCCCAAAGTACAAGCTTATTATTGATATTCAACTTTAAAATGCAATTTCGTAAAATCACGCTGTTATGAGTGACACAGAAGATGCTGCGCACATGTATCTCGCGCGCCGCCAAGAGAAGCCATTCCCTAAGAGTTGCATCGCAGCTCTGCTATCGCTATATAAGACGTGCCTCCAGTAAAGCCTATGTTCTTGTTCGTTGGAATGCCGTCGTGACAAGCTGCTACACACACGACCAAGAAACCAAACGAAAGCACCTCGTTTTCTTCCACCAATGCCTGACAAGCCTCAGATCACGTCACGCTTGTATATATAAAAAATATATATATTGCTTTTCCGGCCGGGCTCGGGACCTCGTCGGCCTCGCCGCTGGCAATAATTTTACCGGGGCTGTCAACAGATGTTCGCGGAACGCAATCATCGGTTCGGATTAAAATATAATCGACGTTGCCTAAGGCATTCCTGACACTTTTTCAAAATTCGTTAAGTGCAACTCATAAATTGTATTTGTTTTCTTTTTGAATGTTAAAAATGTACTTGATCGTGCAACTTATAAACTACTTTTACTTTGTTAATAAAGGAAAGGTTGAGAACATCTTTAATATAACTCAGACTGATATGTAGATGGCCTTACTCTCTTATCTGATCACTGCCTTCTCCTTCACGTTTCGCGTCAGTTAGCGTCAGTTTCGGTGCAGAAATAGCGCCTGCGGAATTAAAAGGGTTGTCAAAACGTCGGGTACCAACTACTGAATTCGGACGGGAACCTGATAGAAACCCCTTTGGCTCTTTCCTATACGTATATGAAGTTAGGGAACTAGCTTGTTAAAATTCTATAGTGTAATAGCTCAGAATGAAATAAAAACAAGAGATGCGTATTTATATTTACTGACAAGGTGAGAATCACAAGAATGATCGAGCTTCTGCTGTCCATCTTACAGCAGGATCTACCAACCCTCACGAATGATTCGGCGTCCCGTACACCTCGGCCGCGTGCGCGCTGCCAGAGCACACCGGAAAGCATGGGCAGGAGTCGGGGCTTTCGAAACATACGACTTATTGGGCAGGCGATTGAACTTTAAGGGGCGCTTTTTTTAGCTTATTGTCCCCACAGAGAGGTGCTTACTATACACATCATAACAAAGAAACTGAACCTCGTCCTGTATGTATGTAAACCTGTACGCCGACGGGGCCATCCTACCGAGAGGTAACACCGCTACCCTGGCTGTGGTCGATCCTCGTTGCAACGTGGCCAGGACAGCGTCGGTCGACACGAACCTCACAAAACAAGCAGAAGAAGTCGCAATTGCTCTGGCTGTCACAGGTACCAAACAAGACCACATCACCGTCATCACAGACTCGCAACGGGCGTGCCGATACTTTGCCAGGGGTGAAATAGGCGAACAGGAGGCGCGAATTCTCTTCAAGGAGCCGTTTTCGAGCATGGAGATCGTCTGGGTACCAGGTCACGCGGGTGTCGAGGAAAACGAGGCGGGAAACGCTGGAGCCCGAGCTTTTCATTCATACCGGGTCTCGTCCGCATCTCAACCACACTCCCCTGACTCGAACATGAAGTGCAACGATTACTTGAAGACCATCAGGAAAGCCAGGACGGCTCTTGTGGCATCACCTTTAAACGTCACCAAGGGGGAGCAGCACCTCCGGAGAAGACTGCAGACAATAAGCATGGAGAGGCCAATGAAGCTCCATCGCTGGTACCCCCAACTCCATCCTTCATCAACTTGCTCCTTTTGCGGGTGGAAATGGGGTCACCTCTACCACTTGATGTGGGTGTGCTACCACATTAAAGGTTTGGATCCGATTCCGAAACCGACGAGGGACAATGGAACGCGGCACTCCGCTGGAGCGACGCGGGAAGCCAACACTGGTTAGTACGGAGGGGGACAGTGGTGCAGGCCGCGATTGGAGCCCCGGACTAGGGTCACCCAGGCAGAATTGATTCCTCGATGAAGATCTCCTACCTCTTTCTAGTCCCCCCTCCCCTATCCCCTTCTTTTCATAACATAAAATATGTTTTCAACAACAACAACAACCTCGCAGAGCGCGGTCTGGGCACGAGCGCTTCTCTCTCACCTGCGCTTTTGTCGCTCGAGGAGCGGCCTTCGAATCGTCATCTTCAATTTCTCGGATCAAAAACAAACAAGAAAATACCGTTGGTTGTCCTCATAGCTCACGCACCGCTACAGGCGTAACTGTTCGATCTCGTCCCCAATACAGTTCTCACTCTGGCAGTAAACATAGTAACAGTAAATTCAACAGAAGTTTGTTTGAGTCTTTCTTATCAAAAAATATTCTCTCTACAGAATTCTTGCCGTTCAGAATATTCAGTTTGTCCGGAATGTCGGGAATCAACTTCGACTGAGTTCGCCCAAACCAAGTTTAATAGCTGAATTTATTTTAGGTGAATCCTAAATAATCCACCCATGTGGCAAAAAGAAAAAAACGTTTAAAGCGATTCATGCTTCAAATGGCGTTTATTTCACTATGTGACAAGGCGTTCTAAAATTGCTAAGCCGGTATCTTTTTTTGACGACGGCCATCGACTGGACAGGTTTTTTTTATAAGAAATTTACAAGCATTAGCGCACAGAACACGGAGAAAAAAAAAGGACAGGTAGAGTTAAAGAGCTTCTGCTCTTTGGCTCTACCTTATCTTTACTTTTTTATGGTTTTTATCTTTCGTAATAACTATGACGTGGGGCCCATTTCTATGGCTTCTTTTCTTCTCCTCCTTCAAAATAAATCAGTTGGGAGTCAGCGCTTTTTCGCTCTACCAGTCTTTCTTCTTTCCCTGTGTTCCGTGCGCTGTTTTGTCAAGTTGAAGTACCAACTAGCTGAAATAACTACTTCACTACAGAAGTTTCACATCTCCAAAAACCGCAATTTGCAAAAAAAAAAAAAAGGAAAGCCTAAGCGAGTTTTGATAATTTATGCTGGAGCGAGGTAGTTGAAAACACTGACAGCTTCACAAAATACCGGACACGGCTTAATATGTTCGCGCTTCTGGCTTTGGAATGTGATCTACCATAGCCTCGTTGGATGCGAAGCGATTTTAAAATTCTTGGAACTCGCCACGCCCGACGTTTTTAGGCTTTCGGTGACTAGGATGAGTACGCTATGGCGTTTTAATTAATTTTAGTAAAGAGCTCGGGTTTCTAGTTCTTCAAACCTTGTTGAGGATGGTGGCCTTGTTGTCGTATCCGATCCACTGACTCTTGTCCCGGTTCACAGCGATTTTGCACTCTGCTTCCTTATCGTATAGTGACACCCAGAGGTCTGAGCTGAACTCCAGACAGATCTGCGGAAGCCAAAATTAGTCATAATGAGCTCAACTGCTCCTGGTACCACTTTCAGAAGCCCCACGCATTCTAGACGGAGGTCGCGATGTAACTCACTCCAACAAAATATCCCCCTTTCCTCATGTTCACTTCACTGCTGATCATTATTAAAAACCACTGATGTAGTTTACGGAAAACAAATCGCAAAACTACGACTACTAAGAATTATTACAGAGCTAAAAAGCATAGCTGCGATATGACATTTGGCATCACTTGAGAATGTGAAGTGACGCTGGGTATCTATCATCTTGCGGGTTTTCTTTTTCGAGTAAAACGTTGTTTCGGTCTCGTCGAGCACCTTTCCAGATCGCAGTGATTGCTTATTAGCGTGATCTGTGAAGAAATAAACAAGTTGTAAAGGTGATCTTTCAAACATATTTCAAGGAAAGCCCATAAAAAAAAAATTCAGCTATTCATAACTTTTGTCTTTGTTCTTTGGCACGCAAGGAACACGGTCATTATCATTCCAAAAGATCCCAGTTCACAATTCAGAATTCACAAACACTCCTTCCTTAAAATCTGTTCCTGCTTTCAAGCCTCGTGAACTCTATTTATTTAACTACTATTTTTTTTAAATTTTGACTGAACATAGTGACCCAAGTTTAGAGCACGGGAAACAGTTGTTCTTTTTAATATAACATAAGTCAAGAAAGGCCTTCGTGTGCCCTATTTGTTCAGCAGTTATTGTTTTTGTTTGTTGCACATACTGACTATTTAAAACAAACTTCATTTCCCACCAGCTTCACATTTTAATGCATCATTGGTCAAAACGGATGACCCCGCCAACTATACTCCGCTTCACTTGAAGTGCGAGCGTAGCAGAAGCTACAAGGTCAAGCTCTAGGCTTTCAGCGTCCCTGCCAAGCGTTCGCGCTCTGCAGTACAAGCACTGTTCAGGGCCACATGCTCACTCTGGTAGCATCGACTGCGTCTCGACTTAAGCTAAAACGAAGTACAACGCCCTTTCCCGGTACAGTAACACTCCAATAGATCCTCTCCGAAATGCAGTGCCATCTGGTGGCTCATATACCAGTTAACTTTTTGTCATACATTTGGCGGTCTTAAACTTGCGTTTTTTGGGCACCGACGCAGGCGAGGAGGTGTTCGTGCAATTTTTTCTCGATCACTTTCAGCTTCGATGGTAAGAAACATACAACCAATCAAAACGGAGCTCAAACCAACATAAACGCCTCAATAAAATTCTACACACCAAATGGCGTTTTTTACGACTGTGTGCCGACCATGGATTGACTGAATCTCAGTTAGAAATAGGGTGATTTCAGATAAGATCGACCAAAGGGTGGCTGGTCGACATTTTTAAATCAACTGATGTTTTTATATGACATTGTCTAGTGTCTGGTATAAACGAATCCACACTTAGTTTTGACCAGAAAAAAAAAATTGGAGACAAGAAAAATCGTAAGGCAGGGAGAGGTGGACAGTTGCAATAACGCGCACTGATGGAGGGGGCAAGTTTGAAAGTGAATAATTAAAACAATAAAATTAGGAGAATTTCAAAACTTTTTACAAACAAACTATGGGTACAACGTGCTTGTAATATAAAGTAATAATATTTATTAAGAATTTATTTAGTTTTCTAAAAATTGCCAAACATGCCTGCTCGAACGACAAATGGCAAACTTTGGAAATCTGTATCTCATGAAATAATTTAATCATTATTACATAACTTGCAGAAATTATTTTACTAATATATGGCTATTATTGAAAAAATAAATAAGGTATCTGAGTGACACAATAGTTACAATATATTTAGGCAAACATGGGAAAAAAATCAAACAAAGAAAAATTCCAATGCGAATAAAAAAAGAAACACCACCTTCGATTTTTTTTAAAATTTGGGTACCCTGTTATACTCTATTTCGGCATTCATTTCTATTAAAACATGTTGCATCATTGGACTGTGAAAGAAGAAACAACTCCCCAAAGTAGGGTCCTTTTTCAAAGCCTACACTTCGCAGTGTCCTATACAAGAAGTGACTCTGAGTTCCAGTTTCATGAAACTTGCACAAATCTTTTACATAGATTTATTCAGATGAGGTCATTGATAAAAAGAGCGATCGGTCACACAGTAAAAGGCAGGAGAAACTATATACAGCATTTTACATAAGCGTACAAAGTGGTATCATATTAGAGACGAATGATTTGGGAAAAGATGATGCAGTGTGAAGTTGTACCTTCCGGTATATTTTACATCTAGAGTAAAATAAATAACTTTACTTCCACACACAAAAACAAAGATATAATAGTAAGATATTTAGGTTGGCTGTGTATTTACGATTACAAACAATTTCAGGTGACGGATGCCATAGTGCCTAACTGGAGCAGCTTCGATGCTCTCGGTGTATGAATGGATCGTGGCAAGCCGATGTATTTTATCCTGCTCGAGGATAACATTTTGGGATTTTTTTTTATAGTGATCAGATAAAAATTATTAGTAACCACCAACAAAAACAGTAGGTTAAATACCCCATGAAGAAAAATGTGATAAATAAGATGTCCCTGCATTCAAAATAAGCAGTCCTTGGGAAATCAAATTCGGCACTTTACGCTAAGGTTTTCCTCGCTGTACCCATTTAATAAAGTTGCTTCCAAGCAGATCCGACTGTCCGTGCTACATATACGTCACAGGTCCCTTCTGTTGATGACTTGCTGAGCCGCCACGCGTGCCAAGACTGAATGCCAGGGAAGGCGCGCACCGTCAGCCACTCTTCTTTTTTTTTGTTCACGATACCGAACAACCTCATTTTCGTCCAGATATACAAGATGCACGCCTTTCAGTTTCTTTGATAGAACGCTCACCATTGTCCTGGCCGTCTGCATTGCGCTTACTGAACGTTCTCTCAGGTTGTTCAGCGTGGCCTGGTGCTTCACGAGTCCGCCAACTCCGTCACATGCATTTTTCCCATGTCCAGATGCAGAAAATAACCACTGGGCTTGTGGGCAATCGTCCTTTGCAAATTGGTGAAGCTGGTAGCGATTCTTGAAATGACTGGCGGCGCCGTCACTTACGTACGTCACGTACGAGTATACCGCAACGTTGTCTTCAACCCACTCCTTCACTTTTTCTAGAGCCAAGCAAGCGTGAGCGGCGTCGTGACACAGGTCCTCACTGATGATGGCAAAGCTGTTTGTAAATTTTCTTGTCGTCACTACACATGTAAATATCGAAACTTGTTTTTTTTTTTCCAGTGATATGCTTGCACTTCGTCAGGAAGCAGGATGGTCCAGTTTTCAGCAAAGTCAAAATGAAAGACAATGCTCCCGCGTTGCATGCACTGTTTTTCATCGTAGATCGCTTTACCTTGCGTTTGCCGGATATGGTTGTGAAGTACCCAACTTCCAACCGTCACTTGGATGACTTTTAGGAAAGTCTCAGGTTCCAAAGTTTTTTTTCACAAGGTCGCCGGACTCCCATGTTGTAAGCACAATCTCTTCATCCTCCGGGATATCAAGTTCCTGGAGTGTAAGAAACTGGCCTTTTGGGCAGTGATCACAGTCTCCTTGAAGGCACAGTTCTGTTGCTGGGTCGCACAGAAATGCCGAGTTCATTTCACCAGTGTTGAATGTTGAGCCTGTAACGTTCTCTAGAGCGGCAATACAAAGATAATAATTGGCGCAGCGCACACAAACGCACACTTACTGGTGTGGAATACATTGGACCCATCTAGGGCGCAACGAATAAAATTTCGTTAGCCCAACGCCGGAATCGGGATGCTTGTCTTTGTATATACGGAAGGCCTCTCGTATTGAGCGTGTCATGAAGCGCTTTGGCACGAACGTTTTCTCTCCGTTGAGCATGACAGAGATGACGTCCTTCTGGTTGGGACTTTGGCGCGAATATTGTAGCTCGTCTTTCGTGAAGTACTCTAGGGCAGCAGACAGGTTCTCAGGGCTCACCTTGCACCTCGTGTAAGGATCCGGCTCATACCACACGCCATGCTTTTCCTTGAGTTTTCGGGATTTACTGATGAGGTACATTGAGGCCTGTGGAATCATCTTTTGAACCTAATTCTTCGTCAGTGTTGACGGCAGGAGCGTAAGCAGTTGACAGCGTTCCCGGAGAGAGGTGGCGGTTTCAAAGGCCTGCCGAAAGTTGTCCACCCACTCAGTGCATGTGGAGCATGTTGGTTCGGATGACCCCGATGGTGCGTCCCTGTCGTACGCAATACGTAGCCTTGAGCGTATATTTTTGACAGCAACCTGCTCCAGTTCTGTCTGCTTTCTCTTGACATAGGCAGGCCTGTCCCGACTTCTTACGACGCTTGGTTGTCTCAGCGGCGACACATCTGTAGGTAGTATGCTGCGATTTAGATCTTCAATTGCTTCTTCAGCTGGCACAAATATGTCAGGGCACTGCTCTGAGCTTCGCATCGAGATCTCCTTAGTGATGTGCATGAAGCAATGGTAGCACAGGTAGTCCGTCGCACTCACTTTGGTGGAACAGTCAGGCGGAAGAATTTGCTTCAACGAGTTTAGGTCCAACTCGCCAACACTTCGAAAATTCCGCTGCTTTGGTATAGTCTTTTTGTGTTTGCAAAAGTAATCTGCACAAAACACTCGTTCGGAGCTCCAGGACGTCTTCATAATGTATACATAAATAATAGAAATTAAACCCCAACTGATGGCATATAATTGCCAAGTGAAAGAACTACTGGGTGCACAAGTGACAAGTCCGAGGCTGAGGAGCTCACTCACTGCAAACGTACATTTGAAAAGAGAGGTCACAACTGAGGCTGTCGGCAAAGCTTGATGCACGTCAAAGGAAGAAAGAGGGAAAGTCTCCAGACAAAAAATTGTGGTCAGCGGCCTTCGAAAAAGACTTTCCGGAATCGCACTGTCGTCCCTCCACGCGCTGATATGAAAGCACCCGAGCTTCTACCACGTGGTTCATAACACAGCCTGAGCCATGTCGGCGACCGGTTCGCGAGGGGTTGGCGGTGGGGTTACGTTGATGGTCACTCGGATTAGCCCTTGCTGTACTGAGCTACCGCCTGCAGTGCCTTATCGCCGGCTGGTGTCAACAACGAGAATACACACACCCTGTCTACACCAAAACTACAAGCGTTCACCACACACGCGTCGCCGCCGCTTTTAAGCTTTTGTGAAATTGCTTTCTTTTGCCGCGGAGAACCGCCTTATCTTAACTACGCGCCTGAAATCCTTCCAGGCGGGCGTACACAATATCAAGCGTTTCGAGAAATGCCCGTGGAGTAGTACTATGGGAAAATTCGGAGCCCGCGATGTCGATATCGTCGCCGTTGTGTTAGTACGCCGTCGCGTACTGCAGTCCCCCGTTAAGGGAGGGGGGGGGGGGGCGGTCTTACTACGATAACATGGCGACAGCGTTTACACTCTATGTATTTACGCGAGGCTCGAGTATTTGGGGATAATGCTGCCGGTTGGTGTGCCCCTTTGTGCCTGATATTATCGCCCGTGACGCCAGCGAGTGGGATGGCGACAGGCATGACTGCTCAGTAAACAGGCGTCGGCGGCCATGTTTTGCTGGTTGAAGCGAACCCCCTTGTCCTTGACAGCGAGCGGGGAAATGCGAAAAAAAGATTGTATCGGCCGTTTTGCTAGAACTAGCGACGAGTGTCGTCTATTTGCCATAATCGTGAGCTTAGCGAGGAAATGATTTTTGCTAGCCACAGAACACTACCACGCAGAAAGGGAATGCTTGAACATGTTTTTGTTCTGGATATATATCAGGGATATATATGAGAGAGAGAGAGAGAGAGATGAAGGTAGAGCGGAAGAGGGAATAGCTTATAGTGTCGCAGGAGAATAAAGTAAACAAAGTTCCTAGTGGCCGATGGCTGCATGATCTTTTCTCGGATCACTAGTCCGTAATATGATACCTCTTTGTACACAGTAGTTTCTCCTTAATTTAAGTGTGTGAACGATTTCTTTAGTTATCATTGGCCTCATCTGAATAAAAATATATAAAAGATGTGTGTTGGTTTTATGAAACTGGAACTCAGAGTCAGTTCTTGTATAAAACACTGCTAAGTGTAGGCTTTGAAAAAGGACCCTACTTTGGGGAGTTGTATCTTCTTTCTCAATAAAATGATGCAACATGTTTTTAATGGAAATGAATGCCGAAATAGAGTATAACAGGTTACCTAAATTTAAAAAAAACTCGAGGTGGTGTTTTTTTTTTTATTCGCATCGGAATTTTTCTTTGTTTGATTTTTTTCCATGTTTGACTAAATATATCCTAACTATTGTATCACACAGATACCTTAGTTATTTTTTAAATATTAGCTATATATTAGTAGAATAATATCTGAAAATTATATCATAATGATTAAATTATTTCATGAGATACAGACCTCCAAATTTTGCCATTTGTCGTTCGAGGAGGCATGTTTGTCAATTTTTAGAAAAATAAATAAAATTTAAATAAATATGATTACTTTATATTACAAGCAAGCTATTCCCATAGTTTGCGCCTAAAACGTATTAGAGTTCTCCTAATGGTATCGCTTTAGTTATTCACTCTCAAACGGGCCCCCTCCATCAGTGCGCGTTAATGCAACTGTCCACCACCTCATGCCTTACGATTTTTCCTGTCCCCAAGTATTTTTTTCTAGTCAAAACTAAGTTTGGATTCGTTCATACCAGACACTAGACAATAACATATAAAAACATCAGTTGATTTGAAAATGTCGACTAGCCATCCTTTGGTCGATCTTATCTGAAATCACCCAATAAACACTTTCGAAACGTTTGTGTTTGACTCCTGCGTCGCATCGTACTAACACCTTCAATGCATAAGCCTCATGTCATCTGACTAAGACCCTCTTCAACGTACTTTTTACATCACTAGAAGGCCGCCTTTAGTAGGCACGGAGGCTATTCCTTTGATTATGACAGTGATAAAAATGGACAGACTGAATTTCAGAAAGGGATCTATATACGTGTTCACTGGCGTTTTGCTTCAAAAGTAAATGTGTGAGCAAACGCACCATCTAAGTACACCAAAAAATGTTTAATAATGAAAAATATGTGGACGTTTCGTAACTTGTTTTGACCGCCAAGGATACGCAGGTTCAAATTAAAACCTAGAGGACAGTTGTAAGTCTCTCTAACATTGTATTACGCCAGGCAACACTCCAAAAAAGTCTGACTATTAAGGTTTATCCCCACGGCATATAAAGCCGAAATACATTTTTATAAAGCTTTTTGTTTCGTTAGTTCGCACATAATTGCTAGATTGCAAGATATTTGCCAAATATGTCACGTATGAACTGAACAATCCGCAGTTAAGTCTAAATCTGGCACTTTTTTGTCAATATGAGCCCAGAGTAGCCAAGTGAGAACCGGCCAACCAGTTGTAGAACCTCATTATGTGATTTTCACGGAAACTAAGGCCAAAAGAAAACGCAGGTTACAGCTTTAGCGCCAGACAGTGAAGTCTAGCTCAGGCACTTGTCTGGCGATGATTAGGACCAAAATACTTACACCTTTCCCAAAAAATTTCAAGTTTCGTTTATACCTTAAAAGTTTTTTTCAGCTTTTATTGCACTTAATTCTCAGGAAAAAAAATGTTGGACCAAATTAAGAGTTGTGTTACTTGAGTATATCATAAATCGTGGTTACATTTCCGTGTCTGGTGCATATACAGCCTTGAAAACACCAAGCTCCAACGTAACACGTACACGACCCTTGCACATGTTTAAATGGAGAAGTTGGAGAGCACCTCGAAGTAGGCGAGAAGACCGCGGAAATCCGTGAAGGGTCCAGGGGGAGCGGGTCCTCTGACTGAAGCGCGGAGCTCGTAGTGGCCACTGTTCCGCAGTCGGTATGCGAAGCCGAACAGGGGCAGCGCGAGCACCACTCGCTTGCGAGACCGCAGCTGGCTAAGAACAACTTCGCAGGTCTCCACCTACAAGAGAAAATGAACCTGCGCTAGCGCCCTGGTCAAATCTCTGTCACATAAAACACAAATGTTCCCTGCAAAAACAAGAAAACGCCAAAGCGTGTTAATGCAGAATAGCAATGTTACTCAAGCTAACTCCGATCTGAGCTTCAAGAAATTTAGTGAAGCGTGACCGGCAACCGAACCTTTGTGTAGCAATCTCCGCCGGCTATTCAGGGAGAAACAAAATCAAATGAGAGACATATTAACGGCATTAGCGCACACGTATGAGGAAGAGAGAAGGGACAGAAAAGAGCGCTACTCACAACTGTATTTACGAAGATGAAGAAAAGAAAGAACATCGTCCAGCTCCCCATAAAGATGAAAAAGGAAGAAGAGGAAGCAGAAATATAAAACAGGAATGTAAAACACAAAGTCGGGTGTTCCCTCGCGCGCACAGGCTTGATACACTGGTTCTTTGATTAAACCCTAAAACCTTTGTTGGCTGTGCCTTTGTTGTCGTGGTGCAGGGTGTTTTTGCTTCAGTCTTCGCTCGCGCCTGGTCACCCGTGTCAGAGGGGAAGACGAACACATCATCCATGGTCGGCTGCCGCTGGGTCGTCGTGTCTGATGTCTCGCGACACCCGTGACTCATGCGAGTTCTGCATTGTCCGTGTTAAAAAGTCTGTCTCCTTGCGTGTTAAGGCCGCCGATGCAACACTAATGCATTTAGTAGCTGCGGATATGATGTAGAAGGCTTCTACCACTTCGCGGGTCATTTTATCCTTGTGCCTCTCTAGGGTTATTGTTTCCCCGAACAGCGGATTACAATTGCACTCCTTGCAATGTGTTGCAAGATGGCCTCCCACTGTGGCTCTCAAAGAATAATCATGCTCGCGAAGTCGGTCATTAAGACACCTGCCTGTTTGCCCTACGTAGATCTTGCCGCACGAGAGTGGAATCTTGTATACCACGCCTGAAGTGCACGGAACAAAAGGTTTTGCATGTTTTTTTGTGCACCTGTGTCTTGTGGCACCTTCGGCTTGCGAGTTGACTATGGAGCAAATTTTGCTCATTCTTTGCGGGGCTGAAAATACCACTCGGACCCCATACCGACTTGCCACGTTCTTCAAATTGTGTGACGTCTTGTGAAGGTACGGGATTACCACTGGTCTTGTCTTTCCTACATCTTGTTTGTTGGCTTGGAGGCCTTTTGCCCTTTTCAACAAGGTGTCCGCTACATTAGCCAGTAGTGGTAACAATAACCCTAGAGAGGCACAAGGATAAAATGACCCGCGAAGTGGTAGAAGCCTTCTACATCATATCCGCAGCTACTAAATGCATTAGTGTTGCATCGGCGGCCTTAACACGCAAGGAGACAGACTTTTTAACACTGACAATGCAGAACTCGCATGAGTCACGGGTGTCGCGAGACATCAGACACGACGACCCAGCGGCAGCCGACCATGGATGATGTGTTCGTCTTCCCCTCTGACACGGGTGACCAGGCGCGAGCGAAGACTGAAGCAAAAACACCCTGCACCACGACAACGAAGGCACAGCCAACAAAGGTTTTAGGGTTTAATCAAAGAACCAGTGTATCAAGCCTGTGCGCGCGAGGGAACACCCGACTTTGTGTTTTACATTCCTGTTTTATATTTCTGCTTCCTCTTCTTCCTTTTTCATCTTTATGGGGAGCTGGACGATGTTCTTTCTTTTCTTCATCTTTGTAAATACAGTTGTGAGTAGCGCTCTTTTCTGTCCCTTCTCTCTTCCTCATACGTGTGCGCTAATGCCGTTAATATGTCTAACTACCAACTAGCCCAGTTATCAACCCTTTTACAGTTCAAATGAGAGAAAAAAAATATTAAAGAGACACTGCAATAAAGAAAAAAATTATTTTTTTTCTCTAAAGGTGCTTGTAAAAACTATTTCCCACAGAAAACATTTTTTTTAGCAAGATTTTTGCCGAAAGTCGCAATTTAGGTGCAGAATGTCGAGGTCGCAGGCCGCTAAGCCGCGTCCCGCGCTTACAATGTGCTTCCATCTCTTATTGCCTGGAGAGATGATTGACGTGTAAAAGGTTGGTTGTAAATTTGTACCTCCGTGCCAAATTGGTATTTTATTTCATTTTTTTTATGTTTGAGAGCCCACTAATCAAGATCGAGTCATTAGTGTTTTTAAATGATTATGGGATTGCTTTTCCCGATTTGGCTTGAAACATTAACAAACATGGCTGCCGGCGCCTGCGAAGTGCTGAATAAGCGAAGCTCGTAAATCTCGTCAATTTTTATGAGTACGGATCGTTTTGAGTTCACAGAGGTGTTTAGAGGAAGATCTCATCAACTGACATAGTTTGCAGCAAACAACTGTCGCAAATACGCGCGTTCTGAAGCGCTGTGCGGATGTTTGGTTTCGTGGCGGGACTGACCATAACCTAGCGTCCCACATCAACTACTTTTATCGATCTGGCTTGGTTTCTTTCTTTGCGCGTGTTGATGCTTAATAAAGTTGTTGATCAATGCTGCTTGTTGGGCGAGTTGATGCTGAAATTTTGAGAACATTGTAGCGCTTTTAAACACGGACGTGAGGGGAGAACGGCACAATGCAGTACGCTAATCTCAACTGTTTATTATGCAGAAAAACATAGGTAAAAATGGCCTGCTCCATCGCATCACTCATCCAATACTGTGCCCTGGCATGGTTCACAAGTACTTGGTGTCTTTGTCCGAAAACCATAGAGGAGAAATCAGAAAGGCGTACTGAAAGAAAGTTACGGGGATCGGTGTGTCAGCGTGGCTTCTATTGATCGGCGGCACAAAGAGGCCCACTTCTTGCGAACAGTGGAAGGGAAGTGTATTGGTTGAGTAGAGCGATCGCGCAGAACGTTTATACTCTTGTTTTTCTCCGTAATAAACAGTTGAAGTTAGCGCACTATGCTGTCCTGTTCTCTCCTCCCTTACGCGTGAAAATGCACTATCATGTTCTTGAAAATGTTGATTCTTGTATAAGCGGCCCCACAGCTCTGTGCTTTCTAATTGTGCAACCGTCGTGATTGCGAACATTGATTCAAAAGTGAGATGATACCTACAGAGATAATAATTTGTGAGCTATTTGGCTGGTGGCAATCGGGCGTTCGTATTGTATCAAGTTAGTCCAAATATATTTCCGTCATTTCACTTCAAATGCAATAGCTCTCAAGATCTACAGTGCACCTTGCCTGGCAAAGCGAATGACCATTGGTCTCGTTTTAATTGTGCGTCATGATGTTCTCTCATCTTGCTCGCAGATGCCGTGCGAAAAAAAAAAAACGGCATAAAAGTTAAAGTGGGTGCATATTTATTTTGTTCCTTTTTTTTTATTCATCTCAGCAGCTCTTTTTATTTGTTATCAAGAGACGTTGAGAGACACTTGTATTGGATCGTCACTTACGCATAATGTAACGCTAGAACGCCGCTTTCATGGTTAAGTCTTGCGAACGTTGTAAAACTTTTTAGACGGGGGCGGAATAGCAGATGTACGAAGGCGAAAACAGACACCGACGGCCAGCTTTCATGTACGCGTCTTGCGGGTATTGCACAGACTAAAAACAAAAAAAAAGGAGTGTCACTTTCTTCTTAAAAGGTGAAACAAAATGTTCCATATATTTCTCTGCTCAGGGAGGAAATTCGAGCATTTCGGCAAAGAAGAAAATTTCCTCCCCCAAACCAATATGGCGGACGGCGGTTACGAGACGAGCGACGGGCAGCTGTAACGACGTGCACGGCTCACGCGACTTTGCGAAATCAAGGCCCCAGGCACGTATTTGTATTTGACGCCCCCAAATATCCCTCTGCAAGCACCGGCACCAAACCCAGTGCGATGCAGACTTTATTGAGCATACCAACTGGATGCCGTAAGTCGCCAGTAAGCGGCGACGAGACGCGGAGACATGCGGTGGACGAACTGATGCAACCGCGCCCTTATCACGCTTTTGCTCACCTTTGTCGATGAGATATTCACTCGTTCGTATGCATTCAGCGGCTTCTAGCTCACGGAGGGCGCTTATCAGTCAAAAGGACGCGATAACAAGCGATTGAGACGATGGTACAATTTCTATGACTGTTTCCATTTTGAATGAATGATTAAATACAGAGCACTGAACGCTGTGAAAGGGGCGGTGACTTGCGCCACCTAGTGTAGTTAGCATGAAATAGTAAAAACCCTTCGAGTTTTCTAGCGCCAACACCAGATGGAGCTTCCACAAGCATCATCATGGGATGGGCGTCTTCTGAGAGCAGGGAAGCGGTGAGCAAGATAGACTTTGAGGATCGGTTGAGGCAAATGGATGGGGACCAATGGGCACGAAAGGTTTTCAGCCATTTATACATGAGGAGTATACACAAAGTGAAGACTGCGCACTAGGAAATTAAGAGGAAAGTTTTTAGGCTATAGTGGAGATACGGAAGAGCAGGTCTCAGTTAAGAAGAAAGTTAAGGCCACAGAAATGGATTGGTGGCTAGACGGAATGCAGACAAAGACGGCTCTGGAAAGCTATAGATTAAACAAAACAGTTATTGCCAAAGAAAGCATTTATGACAATTCTAGGGGAAGCTCATCGTTGTTTGAGGCGAGGACGGGTGTTCTGCGAACCAGAACATACAGAGCGAAGTACCAGGAAATGGATACGGTGTGCACTGCTTGTGGAGAGGAGGACGAGACGGCTGAGCACTTGATACTCTACTGTAAAGAGCTTCACTCTATGCCTACCGAAGACAACATAGATTTAATACAGTCATTGGGCTTTAGAGACAGCGAAGGGAGAGTGGATTTCGCAGCCAGCTTGTCGACAGCGAAGGGAGAGTGGATTCGCAGCCAGTTTGTCGACATTGCTGGTCATGCTTCCGGTATTCTGGGTGTTTCCTCAGGTGTTCCTCAGGGCAGTGTGCTTGGCCCGTTGTTGTTTTTAACTTATATAAATGATATCATCTCAGTTGTTCGCCCAGATGTAAATATTCGTTTATTCGCCGATGATTGTATTTTGTTCA